CTTCATTAAAATTTAATAAATCCTTAGGAATAGTGACGAAAATGCCAGATTTTATTTTATTATTCAATCAAATGGACTAATTTAGTAATTTCACACTTCTACAGCCTGTTTTTTCCCCCTGTGGGATCTGTGTGAACGTGTGCTGTGCTGAGTAGTTGGTCCTACCCGACGACAAAGGCATGGAGTATTTGTCCGAGTGGCGTCTGCGCATGGCTCCCATGCTGGGCACGTTGGCTCCTCCCAACACCGATGGCACCTGTGGCATGGCGGCCATGGGTGTGATGGGGGCTGTGGGCGTGGTGGGGGTCTGAGGTAAGTTAGGGGGCGATGCTGAGGGCAGGTTCTTGGACATGGTGACGCTGGACACCAAATTAAGCTGCAGGGGGAAGAGGGGGAGGAGGAGAAGTGAGTTACGGCGCGGGAAATAGAGACAGACACAAGTGTGTGGAGGAGCATCATTCTGTGGTTTCCTGTGACAGAGCAGAGTGTCTGCTCTCCTCCTCTCCAGCACAGCTGTGTTTCCACTAACAAGGCTCGTGGAGAGGAGCCAGCCCATCTCCACTAATTACAACCACCAAATTGTATCATAAGAATTCTAATTAGAGCACGCTGTTCGAGATTATCCAACGATCAGCCTCCGTGTTATCCCCAGCCCCATCTCTCTTTATCTCTCTATTTATCACACCCTCCCCTCCCTCCCTCCCTCCCTCTTTATCCACCCCACTACAAACACTCATCATCTTTCCACAGTGTAGGAACGAGCTCCTAAAAGTCTCGCTGCTGCCGCCGTGACCCTGACAACACGGGTTATCGGACCCTGGACAATTTATGGCTCTATTATAGGAGCCGACTGTAACAGATACCATCAGCGAATCTAAACCATCATCAGAGACACGTGCTTGTGAAAATCAGAAGTGATGCTGGACGACACTCTCAGGGCTATTTATCCTTTTTCCATCAAACTCCAAACTCTTTTTATCGACATTTTAGTGATTTTTAACTTACTGTGTGAGATCTAAGAACTATGAGTAAACAAGAGTCAGTTTATTGTTATTTTCTATCTCTGCATCACTTATTCAGATTTTTCCTCTATAATAAAATAGATTTTAGTCATTTAAAATATAAGCGGAGGACTTTTTTGGTCGAAACGCTTCGGATTGACATTTTTACTTTGGATTCTGTTTTCATCCACCTGCAGTTTAGACAACAAGCTGCTTTTTTGTGGATTTAAGTTGTTTTGATTGTAGGAAATCACAAGGTGGATAGAAAATAACCAGTAAAAATGATATTAGTTATCAAAAAAAAAACATCTGGCTAGGGGTTTCTTTTCATGGTGACATCTAAAGGAAAAGGTAATAAAATGCTAAAAATAAACAAAAATTTTAAAAAGGTTTTTCGGAGAGCATTTTTATGCTTTTAGTCCTGCTGGTTTGAGACGATAAAAAGAGGTTTCAGTGGCTCTGTTCGGCTCGTTCCCACCGAAAGTCAAATTCCTGGATCATGTGAGGATTTAGAGTCCCCTCCCGGTCAGGAGATCCTGCAAATCCTCTGGTCAGTTTAGATGCTACATCACTTTCTGCACAAGCAGGTTTCTGACACTTTAAATTAATTTCAATCAGACAATGAAACTTCAAATCCACTAAACAACCGGGATAGAGAGGCGGTGACTTCCATAAAGTTCCTGATGGGAATCTGACGGGACGCGTGCAGCAACACAGACTCTTAATCCACTCCACTCCTCGGCTCAAACGCAGTTTGATGATGGTCCGGCCTTTCCACCGTTTCCACGTTTGCCTCTCAAATCTCATGTGAGCGGCTCCAACCGAGTGTAAAATTCCTGACCTTTTAGTCCGTGAGCTAATTTAGCTGGAATGGTAATGACATTGTTACATATTCAAGCCAAATTGTGTTAATTGCGAGTCTACAAGTGGAATGCGTCCGACGTGAGACTTTGGAGTGGAATGGACTTGAGAGACGGACGGCGTGGCGTGGCGAGGCCCGGAGGAGGATCCGGTGGTCATCTGCTGCTAAACATGATAAAATGTCACGTTTGATGGAGCTGATAATGAGCCTGCTACTTATCCAAACCTCGGCTGAGCGCAGGAAGTTTAACTTATGAAAACAAATCTATAGACCACCTCTTCAACCTGTTTTTCTTTGTTTAGCTGTTAAATCCCCTCTTCCATGGACGTATAATTATTATGTTAAAACACAAATCTTCGCCCCACCTCCCGTCAGAAACCGGGGAAGCCTTAAAACTACGGACTTAACTGTTCATTTAGGAATTCTGTCTGAATTGCCCCTGCCATCAGATGCAATTAGCTGCTCTTTCATGTGAGCTTTATGTAATGCAATACTTCATTAGCATCATTCATTCATATTCAAGCACGGATTATGGGCTGCAAATTCTTTGCTGGGCGAGATGGAGCCGAGCTGCTGGAGTTTGGAAGATGGAAACAAAAAAAAAGGAGATTGAATAATAAAAAGGGTTTGAATCCTGATGGAATTATGGAATAATTATGCTATCGTGTGATTATCTACACTCTATGATGAGAGGTGATTGAGAAGTGTATCCTACTGAAAGCAGGCAGCAGAGAGACGCTAACTATGTTTTCAAGTCTAATATTTCTAATATTTGGGGTGGAAATAATGTTTTTTTTCCAAAAACATATAATCCTGACATCAAATCCAAACATAACGGTCCCATCTAAGGCCTGAAAATTCACCGTGACATTTTGTATTCTTCCCTGACCCGTTTGGGTTTGTGTTTTCATACTTTTTGTCCAATTTCAGCTCCTCTGTGTGCATTCAAGTCAACATCCCTGTTTCTCTGCCGCTGAGCTGTCATTTTCAGCTGTTTGTTGTTAAAATGACACATCTTCTCCTCTTTCATTCCACTTCAGAGAGCCGCTGAAGCCACCGAGCCAAACAGTCATCAGCAGCCAACAGGTTGTTTTGGCTATTATAGCTATCACGCACAAATGACCTCGCCGCTTTAGCCCAGGCCTCCGCCGCACCGCCATCTAATACACTACCAAACTCTATTGTCCTCTCACAATGCGCCAATGAGCGATAAGAAGCAGTGTTACAAATCCCATCGTTTCATCTTCTGCCGCTCACTTGTGCAGCAGCTTTAAACTGTTCATTTTCTGTCTGTTTCAGAGCTGTTTACAGGAGGCAGAGCAATATGCACTCACTGGTTTGGGAGATGACTTGGGTTCTGAGGGCCGCATGTGCAAGTGGGTCATCATCGCCTGAAGACGCTCACGCTCTTTAGAAAGCTGTTAAGAGAGAGGGAGAGGAGAGTGCATTAGGGTCGATTAGAGAGGAGAGAAAGGAAGGGAATGCAGGAAGAACATTGGGGGGGGGGGGGGGGGGGGGGGGGAATAGGTCAGGCAAAACAAATAGCATTTCATCTTTTAGTCAATAGCAGAATTCAGGTCAGTGAGGCTTTGACAGTAACAAGCCAGTTGGGCTATAAATTAGGTGGTCTGGAGTGTCGGCTCAAAGTCCTGTGGACACAGTTAGGGGGGATGGAGCGCCGCCAGCAGCTGCTGGGAGGTGAAGGGGTCTCCCAAACAGGGTGCCAGGTGGCCCCGCCTCCCCGGTCCAGTTAGCGGCCCCAGCCGGTGCTCATCATCAATCTAATTCACGTGGAGTGACAGGGACCGGACCTCGTGAAAGGCTGCGCCCCTCGCCTCTACCACCCAGGGACGAAACACGCAATCAAACAGCAAAGGAAGCTGGTGTACACACAGGTGTACACACACACACACACACACACACACACACGGATCTGGGCCTCGTTACTGGTGACGGCTCTCGTGGTGAACAGACAAAGAAAGAGATGATGGGGTTAAAGGATGAAGGAAAAAGGAGAGAGGAGAAGAGACAGGACAAGCAGCGCTGCTGTAATTGGTCACAGATCCAGCTTGCAAAGGAACACAAAAATATATTTTAAAAAGTTATAAAATCTGCTCTAATCCTTTAAATATGACACACTTTTCACAGTTAGAATCAGCACAAAGGAATGAATGGGCTTAAAACTCATCTTTTTCTATAAAAAGTAAATGATTTAATCATGCTTTTTACCTCCGAAGCTCAGGTTTGCTGCTGAGTCCCAGTTTTGACTATTTCCTGTTTCAAAAACATCTGTTTGTTTCTAAAGGAAGAGCAGTGCCTGTCTGCAGTGCTGAGTAATAATGTCACTCAATCAGCACTCTCATTATCTATCCAACATGACTTCTTAATAAGGTCACGCTCCACCTACTGAAAATAGTTCCCTCCTTTTGAGCTTTCTTCAGGTGCAAAGTGCAGTTAATTAACACAGCAGAGCGGGAGAGATGCGCTCGCTATTAATTGGAAAGAAAAAGAGGAGGAAAAAAAAAGACAGGAGAGAAAATAAAGCATGGGCTTAATTCAATTAAAACAGCCATAATGGCTTTGGTTGTAAGGCCGGAGGAAGCCTTTGTTTAGTGGCTTTGTTGGATTCAGCAGGTCCTGCTCGTCTGCGAGTATTAGGCAGACCCACATTGTGGCCTTTCTCTCGCTCGCACAGCTTTCAAAAAATAAAGTTTTGACAGGAAAAGTCGTGACTGTGTAACGTCTCTCCGACCACACGCGTGAGTTTGTGGAGCTTGGTGAAGAAACCTACTTGTATTTCCAGCTGCTGCACCACTTGCATCTGGACTCGACACTGGGCCGTGCTCCGGTCGTCGAGGGCGTGCTCGCTGTTTAGGTGCCTGCGGGGGAGACGTGGACAAGACGGCGAGAGCTTTAAAACACGTTAAATGTCAACACCAGAAAAGACGACGACTGTTCTTCGTTCCCACTGGGATCTAAACGGTGGAGGATGGTAATTACAGTATCAACCTCACCGCTCTTTTGTTTTTATGATATTATTTCTATACAGGGACAATTATCTATAGGATCCAGTTAAAAACCATTGTTCCACTCTGAAACAAAGTAATTAGAAGCAACATGATGGCGTGCGGCGCCATGTTTAACATGACAAAAGGCTGGCACCGGTTTAGATGGCTAACTTCAGTGCCACACCGAGCGCCGCTTTCTTCTGAGAATAAAACGTGCTGGCGCAGCAAAACGGCTGCGTCGCCTCAATTTATCCAAAACAATACACACAATTTAACATTTGACACACAAAGGCCGCTCTTCACTTGAAGGTGCATTATCCCGCTGCAGACGTATTAAATATATCTGGTGTGTTCGCCTCATTAGAAGGAAAAAGGCAGCCAGACAGCATAACAGTCAATGAGGGGTTGTGTCTTGATTGGATTTCATCTGTAGGACACAAAGCTCAACCATTAAAGTAGACCTTTGTTGCTGCTAAAGCACACACACACACACGTTTTTGTGCACAAACACATATATGTGCAGAAGAGGGGTTCCTAAAGTGTTGTGATGCTGCGGGTAATGAGCATCTGTCTAAATGATCATCGGAGACAAACTCACAAAGCAAGCTTTGAGGAGACGTGCTTATGAAATGCCAGAGCTGCCACTTTATCTCCAGTAATTATAGGTTAGCTTGCAGACCCTTCAATGATCATTTACAGCACTACCTCCAGTGCATTAGAGGGAGTACAAAACCTCACACACACACACACTGCAACGGAGCAAAAACACACAACCTCTACTCGTGTTTATCTGCACAACAAGACAACCGCTTTCTCTCTGCCTGTCTGTCAGAGCGTCTGCAATCACAATAGCTCCGCACCTTTCAATTAGTCTGCAACCGTTTCATCCGCTAATGCTCCAAATTTCTTTTTTTATTATTATTATCAAGAATGAGGTGGCATTAATAAAAAAGGAGAGGTGGGGAGTGGGATGCATGAGGGACAGCAGCAGCAGAGAGGGGTGGATTTCTACAGCCGTGTGCCTAATTGCTGTTTCAGAACGTGCATGCAAAGAAAAAAGGAAAAGAAAAGAGGGGGGGCAGAGGGTATTTCATTAATCATTTAATCACGTCCCTCGCAGGATGAGGGAACTAATGTTGCAAATATCCTTTTCATTTCACTGCCCATAATGCTATCTTATGCACTTGATGTATGGCGTGTGTCATGAATTACAGCTGCTTCAAAAGCACAGAGATGGCTGCTCGCCGTCCCTGAAGATACCTCATTACAAAAAGAGGGAAAAAACTTTATTAAGCTTGCATCTCATCGACGAGCAACTTATTTCTTTGGCGGCTTGTTGGGGGTTTGAGCGCGAGGCCTCGCCGCCGTCCTCTAGACACTCGGAGCTTCTTATTTATTTTCACCGCTGGCCAGTTAGCAAGGCGATTACAGGAGGAACACTACGTGTATTTATGAAATATTCAAATGGCAGCGTGTTCTACTGAGCATTAATAATGCCAAACAAAGAGAGGAGTGGAGGAGGGACGAGGGCAGAGACACTAAAACATAATGAAATAAAGCTTTATTTACTGGTGAGCCATAATGGGTTTTACATGCCTTTCTTATCTGTTATCTGATTTTGTCTGTCTTCTACCAGATAACATTCTTAGTCCACAGCAAATCTGAACTGAAACCCCCTTTGTGTCGTTTAGGGTCAAATACAAATAATTAGAATGTGAAAATAACTTTAATAACAAAAATAAATAAATAAACAGGAGCTGGGGCAACTTTACATCATCACAACTTCAGATTTCGGTTTACTGTTATGGTTCCTTCTAGAGGAGCTCTTAAGAGATCTGCTCGGCTTATGAAGAAGATGAAAACAGAGACTTGGAGATGAAGCACTTTGGGCTAACAGCAGTAAATAAAACGACAGAGAGATTGATCAACAGAAAGTGAAGGAGGAGGAGAGGCACAGATGCTGTTTTCCAGATTCCTGCCTTTATTAAATGCTGCAGCTTCTCTTAAAGAGAACAAAAGATCTCCCAAGGATTTTCCCCATAGTTGCCACCATGAATATGTATGGGCCATCAACGTCCACTAAGGGCCCAATAATAAATCTACTCAAGCCAGCACGTATGGATGATTCACTTCTGCTAATTGTCTGTGTGTATTATCAGGGGCTACGAAGGCCCAGCACAGAAACGTAGACCCCCTTTCTCACACACACGTGCATGCATTCACACACACACGCACGCACGCATTCACACACACACACGGTATAAACTGTAAATAAATGCACGACACATTCAAACGTGTTTGGTGTGGTGCGCCGCCCTCTCTTTTAAAGGTCTTGTCACGGTGCAGCAGACACGGAGGAGCTCTTTGCTTCCAGGAGGGCTGTGTCCACATGTGGACATTACATAGAGACAGAGACATTTGGCTGCTGCCTTGTGGGTTTAATTAGCGGCAGGTTACGGCGGGCACCAGCACTCAGGTTAGTGACTGACTTTGCCATTTTAACACAGAACCAGGAGAGCAGAGTGAAAAAGTGTTTGTTCCAGTCAGAGAAGGTGGGACATTCATTTAAAGCTACAGGGGACGGGTTAGCTTTATTTTATTTTGCGAGCAGCTACAGTTCTTGTTTTATTAATCTTCTCTGGAAAAAAAAGCCTTTATCCTAAATGCATTTTGCATTTCTCATCTCTTTGTTGTGTAACTAACACAAACACACCTGCGAACCAAAACACCCAGCCACTCCAGAAACACAGGCAGCGATATTATTTCATTTTGAACATCACAGAGCTAATTCAGGGTGCCAGCCACCTCGCGGCTACCTTTTCCAGGTGAGAACACTTTAAAGCAGCCGTTAAATGCTGATCTTGACAAGTTTCTTCATGCAACAAAACAGTAGACGACTGAATGTGTCACCGCCGCTCAGCCGAGCTCCTGCAGCGAGCTACGAGGTGGCAGCTTGACTCGGGTCTCCCCTCCCCTTCCCAACAAACGTGGCCCCCGCCCAACAACCAACATCTGAGCTGTCATCTACATCTGAAACCCACTTTATGTAACCCCGTTTAAACCGCGACGAGTGTGTGCGTGCACGTTGGCGTCGGTGTGTGTGTGTAGTCACCCGGCATCTCCGGAAACTTGAAAGGGCTCCCTCTGACATATACAATGACTGCTCCAAGGCACGCCACCGAGCAGCCATCTTTGTTCTAATGACGAGCCAGCCTTCTTTGTTGGTGTCTGATTTCTTGCACTGGCTGGCTGGCGTACGGTGTGTGTGTGTGTGTGTGTGTGTGTGTGTGTGTGTGTGTGTGTGTGTGTGTGTGCGTGTGCGCGCGGGGCTCAGCCAAGACACAGTGTTGTTCTGATGTTTGGGAAAGTGTTCGTACAAAGCTGCCTGCCAACCCGTGCGCCACTTTTTTAACTTTGAAGTTGAACCGCTTCTTCTCCAACTTATCAGCTTCCTGGATCCACACATCGTTTTCTTTTACAGCGCTTCTCTGACCCTCAACACGCTAAGCTACAGGGGCACGGTATCCTTACAGCACACAGGCTGCTTTAAGTAAGTGCATTAAGTTGATCGCACACGCTATCAGAAAACTTGCTAATCCGATGCCGCCTTGCTGGATCACACACAGATTTGCTCCCAAGCTGCAAGGCAAACTACCTGCACTGAAATGCATGCAGCCCGACTCTGATCTGTAGGACTTCCACAGCAGACAACACGTATGGATGTGCTCTTCCTCCACTGAGACTATATTGACTCTGACATGGATTTGTCACATTTTCCTGCAAGAAATAAGCAAACACACTTGTCAGGCTGTAATTGTAATATCTATTCATGTCTGATTCATTTACATCCACTGCTGTCAATTATGTCTCTTTTAACTACGTTCTATGCCTTGACAGCGTGTGAAAATTGAGCCTAATCTACTGCCTGCCGGTGTTTTTGAGAGACTGAAAAAAAAACAGAGTTTATTAGAGTCATTTCAATCCAGACACTCCTTTTAGCTTTAATTCACAAGCTGCTGTAGAATTAGCAAAAGCCTGACCTAAATTTTACACCCACCATTCCCCATGGGTGGACTAGTTTCTTGTCTGAGCGCATTTCTTAGCGTTCTGCACCTTATTACAGTCTATGCTGCAGAGAAATGCATGACTGGGAAAATAAGCCAGCAAAATGTCCTGATTTCCAGAGTTTATGTGAATTCGCATGGACATTTACAGCCCGTGAAAAACGCTCACCAGATCGTTATTTCACAGTTAATTACAAATCTAATTAGAATATTCAAATTAAAGCTTTCCCTTTCTTTTCTTCTCTGTGTGAGAGCAGGGAGTCAGGGAGAGAGGCTCTCGGTGAGTGGCAATGTGATAACCTGTAATCGGCAGCGCCGCAAACACCTTCTTCCTTTGATGTCCCCCCGCTAACATCCTGGCAACAAAGCCGGCCAATTACAAATGAGCTAATTAACTAAATTGTTGATGGAGCATGAAGAGTTCATTTGCTCTGGCGCCTGCACCATGACAACGGTGAATAGGGGCCTTTGTTGTGGAGGTAAGTGTGCGGCCGTGCGAGTCACCATCCGCTTTTTGACGCGTTTTCACAAACCTATCAGAGCCCTCCACACTGGGAAGGAAATTTGTTATGGATCAGAGTTGGTTTGAGTCACACGTTACAGGAGCAGAACCCTGTCAACCAGCTGTCTGGGGTTCAAAATGTGGCCCGCGAAACATGGGGAGGTATTTTTATTCCTCTGAGGGGAGGTAGCACACTGGAGATGCAAGGCAACATAACATAAAGCACAATAAACACCAACAGTGGCAGATAGTACCACATCATAGTGGAAATGAGTGTTCTTACTTTAAAAACTGTCCAAAGTCCTCGCACATGGTCTCACAGCCAGGCCACTTGCACACACCATGACCGTACAGGGGGTGGGTTCCTCCACCTTCTTCGTGTAGCGAACTAGACACAGGCGGGGAAAGGGGAGCAAAGGCAGGAGAAAAGTAGATCAAATCAGAAGGAGGCGAAGAGAATCAATATGCTCCAGCAAACTGACACCAGCATTCGTGGGAATTTCCCAAGTACCTTAAAATGTTTGCAAAAGTCCTCGGCTTCCTAAACATCATTAGAAAATAACGTTCAGGAGGTTGCAGTCGTTGCACGTTGGTGACCTGTCTACTAAAGGTAAAATCCCATAGTCATCATCACACACTGGTGAAATTACACCTCCGCATGTGACCCATCCCCAGCGGCGGCTGCGTTCATGGACTATTTGGTAGTTTAACACCCCCCCCCCCCCCCCCAAGCCAACCTCTTATAGCTGAGCATGGAGCAGGGAGGCATTGGGTCCCATTTTTAAAGTCTTTGTATGACCCGACTGGGATTTTAATCCCGATATCCCATTTACAGGGTGGTCAGTCTACCACCAGCCCACTGAGAAGCCTTCCTTAATTCAGTTTCTGTGAGTGAAAAAGTTTGATAAATGTGAGACAACTTTGGGAGCTGTTAGAGACCAAGTCATGGATACGATGAAGGTACTGCACACAAACTCAGCCACTTTTAAAATACATTTGGACAATTTTTTGTATTGCATCAAATAAAGTTGGTTTGGCAGGCGTCAAACACCGGCTTGGTTTACATAACTGCTCAAAACGCGTCCGGCTGAGTGATTACAATATGTCTGAAAACTGAAAAGAAAAGAGTCAGAGGCCAATAATGAAACAGGCAAAATATGTTCTGGGTGCATCTCAGGTTTAGTAACTCACAGACCGTGTGTGTGTGAGTGTGTGTGTGTGTGTGTGTGTGTGTGTGTGTGTGTGTGTGTGTGTGTGTGTGGGACATAGCTTCAGCCAACTTCCCTTATGGAAATCCAGAATGAGTCGCAGCTTTGTCTCAACCCAAGCCACCATCCCATCTTGTAAAGCCATTATGAGGAGGAGGAGGGGCTCGGGCTTTCAAGTAAACATTAAAAATCCAGACAGCCATATAATTTTCATCAGGAGATTAATACACTCTGTAACTTATGTTCTTTGAGGATGAGGAAGGGGTGTTCTGGCGTTCTTCAAATGGCACCCAAATAAGTTACGACCCTGCCTAGACAGCACATCCTATTAAAGATGACAGTTTAACCTTTAGGCTTGGCACTGGTGCGTGTGTGTGGGTCTGACCGTGGGTGAAAATGTGAATGAGAGCGTGTGTGTGTGGCTGCATGTGTGTGGTCGATGACGACATGTGCGAGTCTTGGCAGATATCACGCTGTGTTTTACAGAGGGGCTTTCCCCACATCGATCTGTGGTGTGTTAGTACGCAGCACTCCTGACAACGCTCCATGTGGGATCATTATGAGACACACACACCCTTCGGGACACAGGCAGATAAAAAGTCTTGTTGTCTTGCTTTCTCTTGTTTCCGTTCATTCACTCTTCCCTTCTACAGATCCCTCCGCTTCCCTGGCCTCCTCTTAGTGATGCTGGGGAGGTATCTGCTTTAAACCAATTACACAGCACTCCCACCACCAGAGTGGGTCTCCACCAAACAGCCACACACATCCCTTATTATAATATCAGCCAAGAAAAGTCTTTGAATAATGCATGGCCCAGATAGGCAGACGTATGTGAACAGTCAGTGTTTCGGCTGCATTTACAAAAGACTCCATCAGAAGGATAAACATCCTGGTAACGCCACGCACGGCATCATGTATTCTGTTTACATGACACGCAAGCAGGGAAGGTAATTTTCAAAAGAGGGAAGAAGAGAGAAAGCACTAAATACTTAATGTACACGGGGGTTACCTTGTCTTGTCTGCAAGACAGTGGTTTGTTGGAAGCGTGGCTGCCTGCTTGGCTCCCACTCCTTGCTTTTGATAAGTGCGTGCAGGATAAGTGTGAGCAACGTCGTGTGTGGTCCCCAGAGAGAACAAGGCTCTTGTTTTGTCTCTTTAATATCAACAAGACACTAATAAACTATTGAATAAGTAAACAAAACATCCCATTTTCCCAGGAGTTCTGATGTGTTCCAACAACAAACCGTAGCGCGCCGACGTGTGTGTGATAAACCTGCAGCTGCCATCTCTATTTTTATCCTTTGAAGAAAATAAAAAGTGTTTTGATGCTTTACCTTTCTCGCTCCCTCTCCCGTTCCCGCTCTCTTCTGTGGTTGAGGGCGGGCGACTGTCCGTTGGTCATGGAGTGGTGAGAGATGGGCGGCGATGCTTTGGCGGGGTTGGAGGAGGAGGTAGTTGAGGAGGAGTTGTTGGTGGAGAGGTCTAAGCCGCCGCCACCTACGCCGGTGCAAGTGCCGGTGCCGCTGCTGCTGTGTTTGATGCCATTGTCCTCGATGGAGTGGCCGCCTCCTCCGGTCACGTCCTTCCACAGCTGCTGGAGCTCTGCGGGGCTCAGACCACCTGGAGAAATCAAACAGGAAGACAAATGGAAAGACTTGCATTGATAATTTTCTTTTACAAGAACATTTCGAACATTCATTCTCTTCTGCTTATTTGGGGTCGTGTCACGGGGGCAGCAGCCTGAGCAGAGAGGCCCAGACTTCCCTCTCCCAGCCACTTGGACCAGCTCCTCCGGGGGAATCCCAAGGAGTTCCCTGGGAAGCTGTGAGACACGGTCCCTCCATCGTGTTCTGCGTCTTCCTTTAGGTCTTCTTGTCCCAGTTGGACGTGCATGGAAAACCTCACCAGGGAGGCATCCTAACTAGATACCCAAGTCACCTCAACTGACTCCTCTCAATGTGGAGGAGCAGCAGATCTACTCCAAGCCCCTCCCAGATGACTGAGCTTCTCACCGTATCCCTAAAGGAGAGCCCAGACACCCTGCGGAGAAAACAAGTTTCATCTGCTTGCACCCGTGACCTATTTTTTGGGTCACTACCCAAAGCTCGTGAGCACAGATGAGGCTAGGAATGTAGATTGACCGGATCACAAGTATATTTACATCCTAAAATTACAAATGAAACTTCCTTCAGCAACATGAGAAGTCCCAGACGTCTATTTTTCTGCAAACCTGAGGTAAAACATGTTTGTTCCACCTCAGATTTATAAAAAATCAACTTGTTTTCAGCTTCAAAACTAATGACGCAATCCACTCCTGTGATTTGCGTCAAACATCCACCCGTGTGTTGTTTTTCTGTCTCTGCCAGTCTAGTGGTAAACAACAAACATGAGTGTTTACTTGGTTCGGCAGAAGAAAAAGGAGCTGTTTCCCCCCCTCTCCCTCTCTGTTTGTCCGCTTACTCATCTCTCCTGCCTCTCAGTAAAGGCAGTAAACAACAACACAACAACCGGTGAAAGTGGGAGGGAGGGGTGGGGAGCCGGGGAATAGAAACACAGATAGAAAACAACAAACACAGCCAGAGTGGAGAGAGAGAAAACAACAGAGGTAGACAAAGAACGCCATAATCAGATGAAAGGGAAAGAGAAGAAGAAGAACAGAACATTCTTGTGGAGAGTTAAGGAGAGATGGGATGATAGAGGAGAATACGAATGAGGGGAAGGCAGACAGACAGACACACTTAAAGATAACAGGAAGACACGAGCATACAAATGAGATCAACTAGGACCCGATGGAACTCCTACATAAGAACACTCGCGCATGCAGACAGGAAGTTAAACGCTCAAAACGAACACATTCATGCTCCCTCTTTCTACCTCCACCCTCCCCTCATGCCTCCCTTCTTCTGCTTACCTGGCGGGGGCAGGGTCTGTCCGGGCAGGGCGGCTTGGCCCGGAGCAGGCCCAGGCAGCGAGAGCAGGCCCTGCCGCTGCATGTTGAGCAGGTGCTGCTGCTGCTGGAGCTGCTGCATCTGCAGGAGCTGCTGCTGGAAGACGAGCTGCTGGGCGGCCAGCTGCTGCTGCTGCTGCTGTTGCTATAGAGAGGAGGAGGAGGAGGAGGAGGAGAGGAGGAAGAGGGGAGCACAGCGAAGAGGAGGGAGTGAAAATTACAGAGGAATTAACAGCTGAAAGCGGGAGAGACGACGAAGCAAGTCACTCGTCTGCTGTGACCTTAGCTACCCCTCTCTTCTTCCTCTCTCTGTCTGCAGGTTTTCTCTCTGTCTGCTACTGACTCTTCCCTCCTGTTTTCTTGGGCTGTACCACAGTGAAGCTGCTTGTTATCTCACTGTGTGACACACACACACAGAGAAAAAAAGACACAAAGCAACACTGACAAATTCGATTGTGGATGTAGTTTGTGACTTCATACAATACTATATTTGAGGATGGTACCCCCCCCCCCCCCACACACACACACACACACACTTGATAGTTAATCGTCCCGCCTTCCCTGATGGTCTGTTATAGCTTATTTGGCCAGAGGGAAGTTGCTTATATTTGCAGCATCCTGTGAAAGTGAATGCAGCTTCCCTATTGGCTCTCTTTCTTCTTCTTTCCTTGCTGCCTAACTGGCCTCTCGTCCAGCTGCAAAACCCTCGTGCAAAAAACAACAGCAAAGTGAAAAGTATCAACCTTATTCACCCCAAAGGCAAAAACTAAAGCAGTGATTAAAGCATAACTAACTCTGAATGCTTATTTTTGAGTTTAGCTTTTAAAAACAAACAAAAATCTTTCTTTTAGACTCTTATTCCTGCACGCCTACTTTAAAGTGCACCTGGAAAAGAAAACAAGTATAGAAATGAAGAGGCTGAGGCTAGGGCGGGGAGGGGTGAAACTTGTGATGCACTCACTGGAAAACAGGCTGCATAATAGACCTGTGGAGGAAGACGGTTCGCCCCCCACCACAACAGCCCTCCAGTGCGCCTCCAGAGAAATAAAAGAGCAATTTCTATTCCATATTTGATGGCGGGGCCCCTGCAAAACTCTATTCACAAATCCAAACAGAAACAAAGCCGCCGGGAGGTCAGTTGTGACTTCCTGTAAGGAGCAGCATAATGGGCTGATTGAGGCGACACCGAGAGGTGCATCACAGAGAAAATAAAAAAGAATCGTGTGCGTTTATGTGTTATTTTTTTCCTCTTTCTTATCAATTTAAATGCTTCCAAGCTGTCTGGATGTGGCCCCAGACAGGCTCCCAGGGTTCAGCATCAACACTGTTACGCAAATATGCTTAAGGCTGTCATGTCCGCTCTTCTGCTAGCCGAGAGGAACGAGACACGTCTGCTGACCAGCTGCCTGTCACTGTGATTTATGAGTGGCATCTACTGGAGCTCTGTGTGTGTTTGTACGCTCAGAAACAGTTTATTAAAGAATGGATGCAGGGTTTCTTTTGTCTCTGGTCATCTTTCTACGAATAAGTCCACAATATCTTGCACTTGAAACTGGTTATTAATAAAGTCAGACTTCATTGAAAGAAGCAGAAATGGCTACAAAAATACAGCTGGCACTGTCTGTGTGCTGGACTTTGGCTAGTCTGGTTTCACTAGCATGAATGTGTCAACTTTCTCTCAAAGTGTCTCCTTTTATAATGAAGACCTGTTGAACTGTTGGAGGTGTGTTGGATCTACCTCTTTAACCTGCTTGCCAGGATGCTGCTGCTGGAGAAGCTGCAGATGAAGTTGTTCCTGCTGTTTCTTGTAAAACTCTTGCAGGTGTTGCTGTCGAAACAAACAGACAAACAACAAGGAAAAGGTGAATATAAAGTCCCCCCCTAAACAAAATCTAATAATACACTTGGTAGTCAAAATTTAAGTCCAAAGAAACAGACGAAATCCATTGATTCAGACTCTAAAAAGATGTTTATTTACATTAAAGCTACTTGTAATTATTGATAATGTTTTTTTATTAGTGCCTATTCTACATTTGCTCTAGCTAAAGCATTTTGCCAATATGAATTTTGAAGCTTTTTATTGTATTTAAAGGAACACAGCAGAATTTTTAACACTTCAAGCTAATGCTTTCAAATTGGTGTCAGTGGTTCTTGAGCCATAAACTTGACCAACGTCACATTGGACAGCAGTCTGAAGCCTTTGCTGACCAGAAACTACACGTACCAGTTGTGTGGTTCAGCTAGGTACACTAGTGGGAAGTCTCTACCTGCTTTATGGCTATAGCTGTTTGCTGTTCCAGTAGCTGATATCAAGGCTAGCAGTTAGCTTTTGCAGTTTGATAATCCTCAATAAAAAGCACAAGAAGAAGTTTGCTTGTTGCGTTTCTTCCTGTTAAAAGGAAGTTTTCCTCTCCACAGTCGCTAAATGCTTGCTTAGTATGAGGATTGCTGTAAAGTCACTGACACCAGTCAGTGACTCGATGCAATTATATAGGAAACTTTTTACTGATTGGCTTAATGAACTGACCTGTACTGGAATGTTTACTATGTGAAGTGCCTTGAGACAACTTGTTGTGATTTGGCGCTATATAAATAAACTTGAATTGAATTGTTGGCATGGTGGAGATTGGAAGAAAAAGTAACAGAGTAATGTCTTTGGAGGTGACGCAAAGAGCTAAAACCAGAGGGAACACCGAGAGAGCTAAAGGAGGCTACAAAATCACAAACTGATGGTGACCTGGCTTTGTTGCTACTGGACTTGTAAGTAATACTATTTCTTTTCCAACAGTTTGTATCTTTTAACTTCATGACTTATTTAGTTGGCTTGTGTTAGAATTAGCTCGTTTTTAGCGCTAGCTACAGCAGGCAGCAGCCGTTAAGTTCACGACTGTTGTAATTCCACTTTCAACCAGTAGGAGGGAGAAGCGGGAATCTTATTTTGTGCTGTTTTACACATTTTTGAAACACTTCTTTAGATCCACACTTCTGTAGAACTGGCTGCCCCGGTGCTGAGGCTGACATACAATGAATAATCCCTCTTAGAACCAGTCTTAAAATGAGACAAATAGTTAAAAATAAAGGAAAATAAATGTTTAAGTCACCCACTGGCTTTTAAACTGCTGTGCAACAACGTACAATAAATGCACTGAGACTGAATCTGGAGTTGTGGCGCGGTAACGAAGGGGGATAATCAGATTGATTGACACCTTTAATTAAACTATTCTCGTTTCCTTAATCAAATCTCTGAATGAGAAAAGCATTTCAGCTCTGACAACGGACCGCGCCGAGTGTGTGCCATCAAGCCGAGTCCAAATATTACATCATCCATCAGCTATCATTCAGCTTCTTGTCCCTGATGGATGCTTGTCAGGGAATTGAACCAGCGACACACCAGAGACAGTTAATTGGAGGCGACATGAACAAGTACGTCAATTTAGAAATCTTCTTGGTGAGCGTGTCAAGGACACCGTGGTGACTCAGGGCTCTGTGGAGGTTAACGTTGACACTATCTAAAGAGAACCATTTAAATATGAGATAAAAGCAGCTGGTTTAACAGGATTCTTCAGCTCAGACAGTAAATAAAAGTTTTCCTCAGCAGCATTCGTGCATCTACATCTCTGTGCCTTTGTGTGTGTATTCCTACCAAAGCAGCCTGCTGCTAACAAGGCACAGCTTGCATCAAGGTGCGCGTGTTCCTGCAAGAGCTGTGGTGTTTGTGTCAACGTGTTTGTTTTGTTTTTCTCTCGCTTTACAAGGCTGTTTCCACGTACCTGCTGCAGCATCACAGCCTGCTGCTGCTGGAGCAGGGCCTGGAGCTGCTGCGGGGAAAGCACCTGCTGCTGAAGGATCTGCTGCATCTGCTGTGGCGTGATCACTTGGGGACTCATCATGGCCACCGACACTGGAACCTGGACACGGATGATGAGAGAGGAAATGATGAAACGAGGAACAAAAAAATAAATAAAAAAACCCAACACAGAGCAGGGCAAGACAAACAAGATGCAATAAATGTGAAAACGGAGACAGCGGAGGAAGGCAAACAACAGGAGAGCAGGTGAGACGGATGATGAGATGAGGAAAATAGGAGAAAGTTTGAAAAACAGGAAAATGCATCAGGCTGTGGCTTGGATCTACTGGGAGTATGGTAATTGGTGGTTGGAGAGGTAGGGAGCGCAGGCCTCTCATGGCCGTGACGTTTGGCAGCCTAGAGGAGATGCTGAAGGACAGATGGGTGCTGCGCCTCTGTATTGCTCATCTTATTTTCCTGCTTTTTATCCTGCTGGGAAAAGCCAGGATTTAAATAGACATAGACCTTAATTAGCAGGACCCTTGAACTCCCCCACTGTAGCGTGCCTATCAGTGCTGCTATTGCGAAAATGCACAACTCTGAAGTTGATTAAAACGACGCTGATGAAGTGGACATGTGGCTAGAACAATCAGCTGTTGAGTTTGGGGGTTCACCTAAAGCATTTTTTAAGGTTAGAACAGAGAGGAAAAAAAACACACCATCAGGACTTCTTAGATTTCATTAGTCCTCGGACGTGGCTTCTCCAGACATTAATCATCAAACAGAAACGTTGAATATGGCAAACGAACGTCACCGTAGGAAAAACAAGGACATATCACGGAGCATCTTCTGAATTCCTCTCAGGCGCCATGGCTCGCAACTTCTGAGGCAGCAGATCAATAAGAAAACAATATGTTTTCTGCTGTCTTTGACAGCGAGCATGCTCTAACGGGAGAACAGCTTTACTGTGGAGCTCATAGCTGCTTAAAAATTAAACCACTTTTGTAGGAAAATACATAAATGTGCTGCTTGGGTTGAGCTGCTGCAGTTTCTGGCCCAATAACACACTAATATATGTTATAATCAGAGCTGAATCCTGCACGAGAGAGGTAATTCAGTGCAGCTAAAACATCAACACAGAGTGACACCTTCGCTGATTCTAATTGCAACAGTGTTTGGCTAGAGCAGCCATGACAGTAGCTAGCCTATATGGTGTGTCAAGGGGCCAATAAGACATCCCTGTCCTCATCGCCAGCTAATCAAGCTGGCTTGATTACTTTCCTTGCATGTCTCTCCGTCCTCCCTCCTCCTTGCTTTTCCTCTCCCTCTGTCAGGCCTTGACACGTCCTTGTTTGGCTCTCCACCCCCCACCTCAGGTTTTTCTCCCCCCTCTTTGATTAGCTGAGACATTTGCATGGTCACTACACATTTTTCATTTTAGAAGTCATTATGCATTAGTGGCTCCTGATCGCCCGCCTTGACTAATCCTGATGAACTGAAAATCACAGCTGAAGGTCAACTTCCAGCCGGCCCCGCTGCACATTCATATTCATATTCAAACAAATCCTGCCTCCATTGTTCATTAGGGTCTTAGAGAGAAGGGACTCCATCGAAGGTGGAGGAGGATGTTGTGGTTCATCTATTTTTTTTTATCTTCTTCTTTGGACTTCTCGATGAGGTGGCGCCAAAGAAATTGCATTCACAATAAACGAGTCGTCGAACAAAAGCTGTCAAAAGTTGCAAATTAAACAGTCCGTGTGTAATTATGCAAATGATGTGCTTACACCTTGGATGTTATTAACTCTTAAAGGTGCATTTGCAAGGTGAGTAATTACCCCCGCAGTCACTCCTGGTTTTGTGTTAGATGCCATTACAATGGGACAAGTGCAGCAGAGAAACAACACCGGAGACGCACGCATTTAGGCCATTAATTGGCTGCCGGCTCAAACATGTTTAGGTTCACAAAATAGGATGCAGACATGTAGGATTTACTGCGAATGTATGCTCATATATATGTAAAGCAGAATTAGATATAAATTGTAAAATCTGTGGGTGGTGAAAAACCAGTCAGGTATCTGTAGTTGAATTATGTAGGATTTCAGAAACATTCAATAAAACCAAACAAACTCAACCGAGATATAAAAATAATAACAATAATGATGCTAACCGGAAACAGAAAGCAGGTTATGAAATACACAAGCTTTGCCGTCATTACGAAATGGGTGATAATCACTCAGAAAAAAAAAGGAAATAAAAAGAGGGGAGAAAAGGCACTGGCCCACATCCACTGTGAAGTGCAGCACAATGCTAATTCCCACATTTAACTGCATGCTTTTCTGCTCCACGTATCAGAGGCTCCAAGATGAAAGCAGATAAGTAATTGCTCTCCTGGTTCTTATTCTTCACTGACAACCCATAAATTTAATTTTACACACACGTTCATTTACATTTTCGAGTATATGACATGATAATTGCGGCAATATAACACCTCCATTCTGCAGGATCCTGCAGGAGGGCTTGATTGACGTGAGCGCTGAATTGAAAGGAACAGGAGGCTGAATTGCCTCTCCTTGAAATGATTTTGCCACGAAGGGATAAAATTAATGAGCATTTAGTAGACGCTGGCAGTGGCGTAAACATCCACGCAGCGTGAATAGACTCTCTATCTCAGAAAGAGGAGCCGTGATATCCAATTGCTTCTGTTTCTCTGTAATCCTTAAAGAGGAGAGGATGTGTTTCCAGTCCTGGTGCACAAAAAAGTATTAATTGGATTTATTAAATTGTTGGAAATGAGCTGCAGCTGACGTAGCCACTGGGGTGCTTCATAACGGAAAAAGGTTGGTCTTAATAAAGAAAATTAAACAAGCTTTTGTAATGAAGATTTGGATGCAACACCTAGTTTATGGGTATTTAAAACAATAATAAGCGTTTTGCACTGAGCTCACCCTTTCAACCCGTTTGTTTATGTGACTTGTTAGAAAAACAAAATAATGAGTCAGACAGAAACCTTGAAGTTATGTGGTTTACCCTCAGAGCTGAAGAGCAAAACAGAGCACCTTTAAATTGGCTCCTGATGTAAAAACACTGATGGGGTTCTCCCAGAACAAGCAGATGGTTTCATGACTCTTGTGGCTTTTAAAAGGTCAAGTCCAGGTATTTCTGCCTCCACAAGAGTCTCTAAGCATATTTGTCTCTTCATCTTTACATCAATGCTTCTACGACTGAACCAGCTCTGGTCTCCAAGTATTCCTTCCTTTTGTTGTCTTTTAAAGAGCAGGTTCACTGAGAAATTGTTTTTTACTCAGTTTATAAAAATGATTGACCATTCTGAGTTTAACATGCAGGCTGAATGTGAAAATAGTCTCCTACACCTATTTTCTGCAATTGCTCTGACAGGAAATAGACAACAAAAAAAGAAACGCTCGGTTAGGAAAAGCCTGACAGATCTGCGTCGCTGTCACATAACAATCATGGACTCGCCCATCTTGACTCGTGACGGGGAAGGCTGTTGTTGTTTTAGCTTCCAGGAAACAGCAGAGACTTGACTAGCAGAAGCTAACTATTAGCATCAGCGACTCCACCACACAGCAGAACTCCTTCAGGCTTGTGCTATTTGTGGAGATAAAGCATCTACGTTGCAAAGCAAAAAGAGTTGCATTAGCCAGTCAGATGCACGATGTCTCCAGGCTCTAAACCCTGCCCTGTTCTGCCACTTTTTCCTTCGGCCGAGTTCTTCGTCCTCAAACCAGAGCATCTGACTTACAAGGCGTTCATTCCTACTAGAAACCACTGCAAATGTATCAAAAATAAGAGTAAAGTCGATCTTTAAACAAATCAATTCGTGTTAATAAGACAGAAGTGGAGCCGTTATCAGTGACGGACCATCCTGTCACTCTGGACAGGGAACTTGGCTGTGTCACAGCAAAGATAAATGCAATGAGAAACTGAGGGTTCCTTGTCTTCCATGGTCGGGGTTCTTTGGGAGGAGAGTGACTGCTAATTAAGCAACTGTCTTCATTTTACCAACGGAAAAAAAGGAGATTAAGAAATCAAGCAAAAAGGGAACAGCTTGTCCACCTCTTTACCACATCGTCGCTCCACCTCAGTCTCTTCGACATCCCACGGGAGCACTGGACCGAAACGCTGACCACCGTCAACTCGCTTTCCGTTGCACCGTTCATTTACTAGTCAATTACTGACAAAGGTGGTCACACCAGTAGCCAGGACAGTCCACTAGAGGACCAGAATACACCACTGACCAGCTGGACTGGACTCTGAAGTTCAACTCAAAAGCGCGTTAGGAGGATCGATACTCTGGATTGTTGGGACTGAAGTTAAGTTGATTACTCAGTGTTTCCCTAAATCTATTTCTAAAGCAGTTTGGCAGCGGTAAGTGCAATTTATCATGACATAAAGAGCCATCATGTAAAAGCATCTAATAAAAATGCCCGAGGAGCGCGCACCATTTCCATATTGATTTATCTCTACATGTAAAAACTCGGCGATTAGGCCTCTTGAATGTAGCGTACACTGGTGTGGTGGAGCAACACGGCTCGTGCACATTGTTTGTTTCATTATCAGCCCCACCTTTATCTCTAAACTGGCACAGTTCACTCCCGGCTGATAATCGCCTGCCTCCCTAAACGGGAGCAAAGGAGAGAGAGGGATAGAGACAGAAAAAAGAGGGAGTTACAAAGGGAAGAGAGCTGAAATAGAAAGAACAGGTGAAAGGAGGAAGACGAAGAGGAGGAGGGGAGCGTTTCCCTCTGATGTTGCAGGTAATATGGCCTCCACTGGATCAGCCTCTTCATCAGTGACACACAGTAAATTACAAGTGCTTCAAGCAGCTCAGTGAATTATAGTTCATCACTTGGAAAGGCTTTCCCCCTCACCACCGGGGCCCGGGCGTATCAGATCTGCCGGTTAGGATCCAATTAACACCCTGGCCGGAATCATCTGATTGCATGTGTAAGGGCTGGTATAACTCGTTTATTGCACCCATGTATCTTCTGTCACAAGGTAAATTTGTTGCTGCTACATCAAAGGTCTGAGCTACCTTTTTTTTTATCCCTCCCTCTCACTTTCTCTTGATCCCTCCAAACTCAGCTGCCTCGCCTTGGG